GTTTGATGTCATGTGAATTTTGAGAATTTTTTTTGCCTTCTTATGCAGAACTCAAAGGATTGTTCCAAAACAAATCCATAAATAAATTCAAGAAAAAAGAGAAGAAAAAAATGGGATGCGAAATCGAGCCCGAACAACCGGATGACATGGACTTAGTCCTCTCATCCATGTGGCCGGATGACATAAACGAGGCGGGCCGTCAATTCAATGTCGAAAAGCCCGGCCCAGCTGGCATGGACATGCTCGACGAGATCACCATCAACAAAGAGCCCAATATAGTTGATTTCCATCGGTTAATGGAGCTCACAAATTACAGTGACAAAGGCAATTGTCAGTTAGCCAATCTGATCAAAAACTGGGAATTCAAACAAGAAAACGCGGTCCGTTTACTTCGAGAGGAGCTCGACACGCTCAGCAAGCAACAGCATGAAGTCGAGCTGAAAAAGCTCGAAATTCTCGAAGAGCACAGGTTCGAGTTGGGAAGTGACAAGAGGCCTGTCTCGATTTTGGATGAGAATATGAAGTATTTGTATCAAGATTTGCCGAGGAGGAAAAGTGACATGGATTTTTGGAAAAATGAGAGAGTGGAGATAAATGATGCCGAGTATGGTAGTGTGGTGTATTGGAAGCAAAGGTGTGTGCAGCTCGAGAAGCTTCTAGAAGAGAGCTTGAGAAGGGAACAAGTTCTTCTCGAGAAGCTGCAGGAAAGTATCGAGAATTTGGAGAGGCAATCCTCGCCGGTCGAGGAGCTTTCGCAGGTTTTGAAGAGGGCCGATAATTTCTTGCATTTCGTGCTTCAGAATGCGCCGGTTGTGATTGGTCATCAGGTAAATGTTACTAAAGGGAAAAAAAAAAAGCTATCTTTCTTTCATGTGTTTAGATTTTGAGTTTTGGCTTCAGGATTTTGATATACAGATATATATTTGGTTTTATGGTTAACAACCTTTCTGTTTTGTTTTGTTTTTTTTTTATAGGATAAGGAATTACGATATCGGTTTATTTTTAACCATTTTCCGAGTCTCGGTGAGCAGGTTAGTCGGAATCGAGCCTGGAGCATAGTCTGATTATTACAACTTATCTTAACAAACACAAAAATGCTAAATTTTGTAGTGATAAGTAGAAAAAAAATAAACGATTTTATCGCAGGACATCATAGGCAAAACGGATGTGGAGATCTTTTCAGGTGCCGGCGTGAAAGAATCACAAGACTTCAAACGGGAGGTTCTCGAGCGAGGACTACCCGCAAAGAGAGAAATCACATTCGAAACCGAGCTATTTGGTTCGAAGACATTTTTAATCTATGTCGAACCCGTTTTCAGCAAGTCCGGTGAGACAATCGGAGTAAACTACATGGGAATGGAAGTAACCGATCAGGTAAAAAAAAAAGTAAGAAAATAAAAAAAATAATCGAACTTTCCATTTCAAGATTCGCCATTTTGTTTAAAAACAGGTGAGGAAGCGAGAGAAAATGGCGAAGCTTAGAGAAGAAATGGCGGTACAAAAAGCCAAAGAGACAGAGCTTAACAAAACGATCCACATAACAGGTTTTATTTTCTTGTAAATATATAACCGGACAATAAGCTGATATTGATTTTAGCTGATATTCGTGTTTTTGTTTTTTTTTTTATTTTATTTTATTATAGAGGAATCGATGAGAGCGAAACAAATGCTGGCCACAATGTCTCACGAGATAAGATCGCCTTTATCTGGAGTTGTAAGTATGGCCGAGATTCTGTCGAACACGAGTCTTGATAAAGAACAAAGGCAGATTTTGAGAGTTATGTTATCGTCCGGTGATTTAGTTCTTCAGCTGATTAACGATATCCTCGATCTTTCGAAAGTAGAATCAGGTGTGTGACATTTTGTGTGTGTGTGTGTGTGTGTTTTGAAAGCTCAACTTCAAATTAATAAGCTCATTTTTGCTAATATTTGAAGTGGATTTGATTTAACATTTTTTAATTAGGAGTTATGAAATTGGAAACTACTAAATTTAGACCAAGAGAAGTGGTAAAGCATGTTCTTCAGACAGCAGCAGCTTCATTACAGAAACTACTTACCTTAGAAGGTCATGTGGCAAACGATGTTCCGGTGGAGGTACGAAAAAACCGAAAAAAAAAAATACGTTAATTTTGTATATTTTTCGATTTTATGAAAATCCTCTCTACGATTTTAGGTTGTTGGAGATGTTCTACGCATCCGACAGATCCTCACGAACTTGGTGAGGTAATGTAACAATTATCGATTCGAAATCAGCACATAGCTTGTAATTATAAGTTGACAAAAATTTCCCCCTTTTTCAAGTATCGTTTCGTAATAGTTTTAACAGTTTATATCTAAATACAGCAATGCCATCAAGTTTACGCATGAAGGTAAGGTCGGAATAAACCTCTACGTGGTCGAAAAAACGGGACACGAGCACGAAAACGGGACTTGTGAAGGTACTGAGAAAGAAGAAGTGAAGGACACGAAAATCGAGGAAAAAGTCGTGTGGATACGTTGTGATGTTTACGACACGGGCATTGGAATACCCGGTATATAAATATATAACTGAAAAAACTAACTTTTGTAACCGAAAAATCAAAAGCTAACACGAGATTTATTGCTCTCTGCCTGAACTTTCTTTGAACAGAAAATGCAATACCAACCTTATTCAAGAAGTACATGCAAGTTGGTGCAGACACTGCTCGAAAATATGGGGGGACGGGACTTGGTCTTGCAATCTGTAAACAACTGGTGAAAATTTGCCTCGTCCGAGAATTTTTTTTATTTTTTTTTCCCAACCGATTCTAATGATGGTTCAACAACAATTTGATTTTTTAATAATACATTTTACGATTGAACGATTTTGAAACAGGTCGAGCTAATGGGAGGCCACCTGACCGTGTCCAGCGTGGAAAACGAGGGCTCGACATTTACGTTTGTGCTCCCTTACAGAGTCTCCTCTGCCTCCGAATCAAACTCGGACGACCTGGATGAGCTGTCGGATTCTGATCACCAAGACATTCTCGACGAGGACCTTCGCTCGGGAGTTTTTCTTTTCCCTCCACGAACCCTCGGCACCTTATTCTCCTCCTCCCAAGCTTCCGGAAGGATCCAGAAGCTCGACACCTTATTATTGGAGGACTCGTTGTCCCCTAAACATTTCATGTCGTTGCATGAAGAAGTTGGGTCGTGCGAGGTGGGAACTAATTCGGATAGCCATGCAAAGAAAACCGAGAACATATTCGACAATAGTACGGAAAGGAATGGACGATTCTGCCCCTATGTTCCGGAAGTTACGGCATGTGGGGAGAAGAGGGGTCGGGATGAAGGGAGTTCCGAGTGCTCGTCGAGCAATAGTACTTTTGAGATGATCTCGAGAGTTGGTTCAAGGCCCAAGATTCTTCTTGTGGAGGATAACAAGATTAACGTTATGGTGGCGAAATCGATGATGAAGCAATTGGGCCACGAGATTGATGTAGTGAATAATGGGGTGGAGGCCGTCCGCGCGGTTCAAACCAACGACTATCATCTAATTCTAATGGTACGAGTTGCAAGTAGTGGTTAAATTAAACGAGTCTGTTTAGCTCGGCTCGAGCTCATTTAAAGCTCGTTTGGTTAAAGCTCAGCTCGATAAGACTCGAAAAGAGAATTTTTATATAATTTTCTATAGTTCGGTTCGTTAAAGCTCGACATCGGCTCGTTAATAGTGATAAACGAGCCGAACTCGAGCTCGATTTTTGGTTCGTTTATTTAACGAGAAGAGCCGAGCTCGGGCACCCTAAGCTCAAGCTTGAGCTTGGCTCAGCTCGTTTACAGGCCTAGTTGCAAGTAGAATATGAACAGCTTTCGAACTTTTGAGGAAAAGGAAACGAACAAGAATGTAGCTTAATTTGTCCATTATTGTGCCCAAGAAACTAAAAATAAATACGGTAACGAACGATGTTTTGCAGGACGTGTGCATGCCGGTGATGGACGGTCTTCAAGCTACGAGACTTATCAGATCGTATGAAGAAACCGGTACTTGGGATGAGGCATTGAAGGCCGGAGTCGAAATTCAGTTGCCTTCTCGTAATTTGTGCTCCGATTTGGGAG